CAGGAATCTGTAGGTGACAGGCAAGGGGAGGCGTGAGGTTGGTGGCTGTGCAGGCCCTTTGCTTCCGTAGCTTTCCCAGGCCCCTCCCTGCTGGAGACCCAGTGGCTTCATCTGGCAGGTGGAGCAGAGGAGGACGGACACCCCTGGACTTCAGCCATCCTCTGCCAGGAGCTCCTCCGGGGAGCCTGGCCTCCCGGTGAAGTCAACGTCACCTCCCGCACACAGGCAGGGGCCAACCCACCCTTTCTGCCCCTGGTGAGTGAGCTGCCCTTCCCCGTCCCCCGAGCCTCCTTAGGTCCTTCCCAATCCTGACCCCATCCTTGATCACCCTGGCCACCTTCCAGCCCAGAGCTGCAGCCATCCCCTCTCCCTCCACAGAGCTCGAGACCCTCTCCGTCCACTCCTGGGGCAGTTCCTCAAAGGCCTCCCTCTGTGGGGCCCCTCTGGGCGGTCCCACTCCATCTCTCCACCTCTGGCACGCCCTCTTCTCCTGGGGTGGGGGTTGTGATAAGGAATTCCTTATCCATCCTGACTCCCTTCMAGGGATCCCTGGGCCAGGGCCACCCAGGCAAGGCTGCTTGTCCCGGGCTCGCACAGTGTGCTCAGTGGACACCCCGACATGTGYCAGGTGCAGAAGCCTTCGGCCTCCSCTGTGCTCAGAAGTGCGGCCACATACCCGGGGAATCAGCGAGGTCTGTGGGTGTAAGACTGCCGTTCCCCGCACCTGGAGAGGGAAGGTGAAAGGTTAGGGGGTCTTCCCCTCTGCAGTCCCTGGTCACTGACCAGCTGGGTCGCTGAGATGTGGAGGTCCCGTGCACATCGCCCGTCTCTACCTGCGGTTCCCTAGGCTCCAGAAGAGAGGGAGGTTGGGTGTCCTCACCTGTCACCAGGAGCATCACGGGATTGCTGGGGAAGGACCACGCRTGGTTGTTGTAGGAGCCAAAGCATCTGTAGGTCCCCTGGTGGGCCACYGTCACCGGGCCCACAGGGAATTCTGCCTGGGTGCTCCCGTGGCTACGCTGTGGGCGGCTGGACCTCCCTTCTTTGAGCAGAAAGAAAGTGCTGGTTGCTGTCGCTAGGTGGCAAAAGAAGGTCACGCTGTCCCCCAGGGCCACCTCAGGTCCCGGCTGAACAGAGAGGGTGGGTGTGTCGTACATTCCTGGGAGAAAAGGTGGCTGGTGGGAGGACAGCACGCTGACCCTGCTCCCCCACCTCCTGTCTCGAAGTCCTCAAGGCCACAGGCCACTCTCGGGAATCTGTCCCCCTTCCCCTGTCCCAGATCTCTGCCCTGGTCACGGCCATGTCCTACAAGCACTCCTTCAAGACCAGGCTCTCAGTGCCCGGCTTCCAGGACTGAGTAGGAATGTCTYTGGGAGTGGCCCTCGGCCTGTGCTCCTCGGGGCTGAGGGTAGGATCGGCAGCATGATGCCATACCACAGTCCCCTCCAGAGCCACCACCACAGAGACACAGGGACGGGACACTCTGTGGTGTTTTCAAAACATGTTACTTTCCCACTGTGGCCAGACGCGCACAGTGTGACCTTTCCACCTGAGCCACCTCCGTGGACAGTTAGAGCCAAGAGCCACTGGTTGCTCACCGCCCAGGCAGTGCTCACCACCACTACCTGTCACCACCAGGTCCTGCTAGGAGTGGGTGAGTCACCTGTCACCACCAGGTCCTGCTAGGAGTGGGTGGGTCACCTGTCACCACCAGGTCCTGCTAGGAGTGGGTCGGTCACCTGTCACCACCAGGTCCAGGGGGCTGCTGGGCTCGGACCAGAGGTCCCCGCTGCGGTAGAAGCAGTGGTATTGCCCTGCTGTGCTGGAGGTCATGGTGGGGATGGTCACCTGTCACCACCAGGTCCAGGGGGCTGCTGGGCTCGGACCAGAGGTCCCCGCTGCGGTAGAAGCAGTGGTATTGCCCTGCTGTGCTGGAGGTCATGGTGGGGATGAGGAACTTGACTTTGTCCACGAGTCCAGGTGGTTTCGGTCTCTTCAGGGCAGCAACCCCTCCCTCAAAATGCAGCCGGTACTCCTCAGCCTCCCGGGTGCCCCAGCACCACAGGGTCACCGACTGTCCCTTTGGAACCATGAAGCTGGGCCTGGCCTGGATGAYGGGTCTCGAGAGGACCTCTGGAAGGGAAGCGAGGCTGTGGTGCAGGGAGCCYCCGGCCTGCCCCCGCTCCCGCCCACCCGTGGCCCAAGCCCTCCCAGCACGGCCGAGCCTGCTCCCCGGTGTTCTCAGGTGGACGGCTGAACCCCTGGGTGACTCTGGGCCTTGGGGGAGGACTCACCACTCTGGATGCTGGTCCTCAGGCTCAGGTGCAGCCCTGGAACGCAGGGAGTATGAGGACAGTGCCCACCACACCTGGCCTGGGGCCCTTCCACCAGAGACTCACCGAGGCACAGCAGGGCCACCGGTGTGGGTGGCATGGCACGATTCTGCAGGCCAATGCGGGGCAGCCAGACGGGGACKGGGCAGCTGGATGGGGACTGAGCCGGCAGTCCAGGGACAGGCACAGGATGTGGTAGGTGTGGCCGGCGCTGGGACTTCCACACCCAGGTTCACAGCTCTCCCTCCCCCTCTGGGCCTGGGCCTGGTTTTCTTTTTCTCTATTTTCTTCCCCAAAGTGTCTAGACAATTTTGAAAGTGAGGTGTTCTGCCCTTGGGTTCCCCCCCATGCGTCCTGGGAGACGCCCTTTCTGCAGCCTGTGCCCTTTGTCTGATTTACCACCCTCGTCATTACAGGGGGAATGCTCACGGGGCGCTCCACTCCAGGAGCTCCGGTCAGTGCACGCGGTCACGGACCACGGTCCGGTCAAACGCAGACCATGGGAAAGTCCGTGCAGTGGTTTTGGGTGACAGGCACATGAGGGTGCTGCCTGGATGTAGCCACTCTGGGGTGTCGGGACGGGTCAGGGAGTTTCACACCCCACCCAAGCTCAGGTGCTCTCTGTGGGCGGAGGGAGGGAGCTTCCCCAGACCCAGACGTGGTGCTCCTGGGTCCCAGGGGTTCCCGCGCTGGCCAGCCTGGGAGAAGGGAAGGCAGGTTCCCCTGTTCCCCTCCTGAGTGTCCCATGGCCTGTGGGGACAACAGCCTGTGTCTCTGCTGTTTAAGGAGCCTTTTGTCCCCACAAAGGCACCTCAAGACTGGCTCTGTCTTCTTTGGGCCCACGCTGTGTTAACTCACACCGTGAGCGGCGTGCAGCTGGGCGTGCAGGCCTGGGGTGCTGGGTCTCCTGCCACCGTCGCCCTCGGGCCATGGCAATGACCAGCACAGGGGACAGGACCCTCCCCAGGTGGAAGAGGTGCCTGCCYTGGCCCACCAGGTCCTGAAGAGGCCGCGTGCTCAGCCTGGGTCACCCCCGTAGGGTCGGCTTCTGGCAGGTGGAGCAGGAAGCCAGGCAGGGCTCACGTTCAAGGACCAGGCGGAGTCCATCTGTGGACGTGAAGGGCCCTGGGGGACAGGAGCAGAGTGTGCGTCCAGGATATGGGATCTTGTGCGACCTGGCAGGGCTTCTCTCCCTCTGCTCCAGTGACATTGGGGTGGACGGTCCCTGGGCCGCCCTGTGGTTGGGTGGCTAGCGGTACCTGGGCTCCACCCTGCTGCTCGGCTCCCGACACACCCGGCTCTGTGTGTGGTGAGGGTCCCGTCCTCCCTGATTCCTAGAGCAGCCAGGGCCTCTGCGGCTGTGGCTGAACCGATGGGGTCTGGGGTCCTACACTGCTTACGAGTGGTCTTCCTCTTCTCGTGTCTTTGTTATTGTCACATGACACACAACCGCGGGACTTGCTGTGCCCTCCACACACGTAACTGAACTGGCTGCATCTCATGCCCCGATCTCGCCTGCCCCCTGGTCCCCTGCCCCCTGGTCCCCTGCCCTTCCTCTGCTGGTGTCCCTTCTGTTTTCCGGAGGCCCCCTCCCCACGTTTTTCTCTCCCACACACGAGAGAAAACCCGGGACCCCCGACCTTCTTTGTGAGCCGGGCTCGGTTCACTTAGCGTACGTTTCTGGTGGGTTTTGTCGTCAGCCAGCAGGTAGTTTGGCCTCTTCCTTTTGTGTCTGGGTCCCTCTGAGTCCCTGCTCGGGCCCTGGGGCCGGCCTTTCAAGGCCTGGGTTGGGTCGGAGTGGTGGAGGGGGCGCCCCGTGGATCCCTGATTCGGGGAGAAGCGTCCGTTTGGGTTTTCACAGGTGGGTTTTGCACCAGCCCTGCCAGCTCCAGGGTCCCCTCTGGTGAAGGAAGCCCTTCCCGAGGCGCAGCCCCCCTCCGAGCTTCTCCTCCACAGCAGCCGCTCCTGTTTAAGGTGCTGAAGCCACGTCCCCAGGCCTTAGAGATGGCAGGTGGCCGCCCACTGACAGGCACCTGTGTTATCAGTGTCATCAGAAAGGTTTTACGCTCAGCTTTCAGTTCTAGGGTGATTGTGGTCCCTTGAGAGCAGACATTTGTTCATTCTGTCTGACTCGGAGTCCCACCCGCGCACGGAGCGTCTGCCCAGGCCAGGGTCACGGTCAGCTAGCTTCAGCCGCTGTGGGAACCTCATCAGGCCTCGGGAGCCTCTCAGAGGGCGGATGGAGACGCGAGGTCAGCACCGGGACGCAGGTTGCCCCTGGCCTCCCCACGGCAGTGCCCTCTCGGGTCCATTACTGGGATACCCCTGCTGCCCTGGCCTCCTCGCGTCCTGCCTGGAGGTGTCTAGGATGGATCCTGTCGCCTCGGCCCCTGCTCTGTTCAGTTTGCAGAGGTCCTCGGACCCCAAGGGTCCTCTGGTTACACAGACCSGTCCTTCCCGACGCCTAACCCTGATGCCTGTTCGCCCCGGACGCGGTCTTCTCCCCATCTCCCCGTAGCCCACAGCAAATCCACCCCACGCTCGTCTTCCTGAAGGTTTACTCTGATCTCCTTTCCACCCCAGCTCYGGTGTCACCTTGGGGACGCGGCTCCCCAGGTGGCTGCTGTCCCTCCCTCTCCCTTCCTCCTATCAGCGATTTGGGGGTGTGGGGGTGGATTCCCCCAGTTCAGAGCCCCGACCCTCTATTCTGATTAAGACCCTGCCCAGGGCAGCTTCAGAGAGCGGCCCAGCCTGCTCCTCCCTGCTTGACACAAACAGAAACAGAGCGTTTTACCAGATACGTTCATGTTCACTTTTTTTYYYTTTYTTTYTTTAGTGGAGATGATACAAAAAGCCTATTYCGTAGTCGGACGCAGGAGGAGTAAAGAACAACTTCTGTTGCATTCCTCCACGCTCCTCATCTGGGACCCCTCCGTCTGGCCATGGGTGCCCAGGTTGGTCCTCACTGGTCCCCTCCCCTGTGGTCACAGCCCGGAGCCCCCTGTGCAGCCAGAGTCCTGCCAGCTCTTGTCAGGCCGACTCTTCCCCCCTCCTGGAGCTCCCCAGTGCTGACCTGGTGCTGGAGGACCCTCGCAGGCGGGGCTGCCTCCAGCACCGGGCAGAGACCTGGAGCAGAGCCGCCTCGGGACGGCTTGTGCTCACCTGACCTGAAAGACGCCTCCTGCCGTCCAGCCCCCTTCTGAGCAGCTTCCAGTGGTGACCTTGAGTCCTCACGGTAACCCAGGGAGGTTGGCCACGTTATTCTGCACTTTGCAAATAAGGGAACTGAGGCACTAAAAGGTGAGCCCATGCGGAGGTGGACCCGGCTACTGAGAGGTGTCTGGGGACCTGGGATCCAGACGGTGCCACCAGATGGGGCA